ACCTTAAGAGGAGCGAAACTTACCAACATATCAATTCAAAGGTATTACGTGTCCGACTTATTCAAATTTCAGATCAATTTAATAAATATCCGTAATACCTTTCCTTTCGCGTACACTTTGTAAGTTATTTCTCTAGACAAAAACTACTATTGTGTGCTAAAAGCACACTCAAAGTTCCTTTGTTATCTGACATTTCAGATCATTTAGAGATAAAAATAAAAAGATAAAAATAAAAAAAAAATTTAAAAAACTTGCGCAATACTACCCCAAATATTGCACCGAAATGTCATAAAATAAATCAGAGCCTCTTTCACTTTTGAAAGTGTTACTGAGGCAATCTCTCAGACTTCTCGAAACTCAAATCAAGCTTCTTTTTTCCTGGATTTATGTGCGCCACTGGGTCAGGAGGGGAGGGAGAATGAGGGGAGGAGAAGGGTGAACGACCTGCCCCGGGGTGCAGTTGCCCTATTGTGTTGGGGCCTTATCGGGGCCACCTGGATACGCGCAAACGATTAACCCTTTCGTGATGCGAGCTCCCTTTTTAACAGCGAACCCATAAATCGTTTGGCCGGGCTCTGCAGGAATCGAGAAGAGGCGAGCGAGGGCGCACGGTTCGTTCGAATTGGAATTTTAGGAGAAAAACTTTTGCTCGTTTACAATATTTATTGAAACTCTGAATCAGTTCTCGTATGTTTATGAGTTCTATATATCACAAAAGAGGTCGTCATTTGTTATGGTTTGTAAAGAAAAATCATGAAATTTAGAGATGATTTCTGACATAGGCTGCAAATAGAAGTGGAGAAGTTTTAGAATTATAAAATCATTGAATAAAACATGTTTAAGCAAGGATTTTAAGAAAAACAAAGTTATATTAAATTTAGAATTTATTCAATTCCTACTATTAGTTCTCTCTCTCTCTCTTTCTTTGTCTCTCTCTCTCTCTCTATATATATATTTAAATATATATAAATCAATCACAGTTTAACAATTAAGCAAACAATTTAAGTTATATGAAAGCTATAATACTAAACCCCATTTCAAATTATCAATGGCGAACATAAAAAATAAAATTCCAACCATTTCAAACAAAATTAACCCTCTAAGTGGTCTGCACTTGAAGTCTTGCCATTCTGGAGATGCTTCAAAAATGCACCGCACATATTTTTTTGCTTTCAGGTGGGGTTCTCAAAAGCGGTTGAGCCGTATTTTTAAGAATGCGGCTCGGCAGCTTTTGGGAATCTTGCTTGAAGGCAGAAAAAGCATCTCTGGAATGGCGGAATTTTACGTGCAGACCGCTTGGAGGGTTAAAGGCGTATAAGATAAAAATTTATAAAATATCCAAGAGCAACCTCGGATTTAGGACCGATAAATGGGGTTAAACTAGTTTGATGGCACCAACCTTCCCCCTATTGAAACTTGGTAAGTAAATCTGGAAATATCCAATTCTCAAAAATTTTAAATTTAAAAAGTTAATACCTAAGAAATAAACCTATTCGCCATCGCATTATGAAATATATTATAACATAAAAATATTAAAATTCTAAAACAATTAAGTGCATAATGTAACTGAGCAATCAAACACCAAAGATGATGCACCCATCTTTAAAGTAGTCGTGTAGAAAAAAAAATATCTAAAATCCGTAAGTTCAAATTAAAAACCCAGTATATTCACAAATAAATTACCTCAAAACATCAACACACAGCGTAAATCATCAAAAACTCACCCAAGAGCATCCTATTAATACTTCAAATTAAATAATGGTATTCACAATTTCTGAACAATTTTTCATATTTCCTACAGCAATCACTACTCCTATATGGCTTATATGTATATATACAAGATATATATATAAATATATATAGATATATATTGTTCAAATTTTCAATTATTAATAAAATACTTTCTATTCCTCCATTCAAGTTCAAATAACTTTTTTTTTAAAATTGTAGTAGATAACATTTAGCGCTAATACATTTTTTAAAATATTCATTCATTTATTCAACTAAAAAATGAATATAAATAGTAACAAACAAAAATAATATTCCAACAGCATATACGGAAAGAAAAATCGTTCGTTGTGTTCCTGCAGCGCAATAAGTAGCGTGTTGGACTTCTAATCCAAAGGTCGTAAGTTCGAATCCTACCTGGGATGGCCTAATTTTTGAGAATGTAAATATTTTTTACTATACTATTTTATTAGAATAATTAATATATATTTAATGAATGAATAAATAGAGTAACAACAACAAAAATAGTCCAACATCCTTTATAGAAAGGAAAATGGGAAATTTCAAGGAAAATCGCTTTCTATTTTGTCACTTAATAGTGTGATTCTGTCATATGTATAAACATATTTATATTAATTGTAACTATTTAATAAAAAGTAACGAAAATGAAATTTTTCTTTGTTGACCTAATTAGGAATAGACTTTGTGATACTCCGCGGCCCGGGGATAGCATCTCTTCATCCACGTGACCTAGATTTGTTGGAAGAAGTGATTGATCACCCAAATTCGTCATAATAAATCTAATTTATTATTTTCTAAATGTATTGATCAACACAACACAAGTCTTACTTACAGGGATGTAATCAGGAGTGATACAACGTAATTCTAAATCCTAAGTAGATAGCGCCTGGAAAATCCTAATCACTATCTTTATGAAAAGCTATCCTAAGAATCTTTATCTGCCTTAGATTCCTTAACGCACAAAAGCCCTTTCTATAATTACACTTCTATAATTAATATCTTACCCATATCTCACGGCGATCAGCCTCTCAGCTTTCTGTCTCCTTCTTCTATTCTATTCTTCTACTATTCTACTTCTCTCTGTTTTACTTCCATTCTACCAACATGCGAATGCTAAAGCTCTATTATATATCCATTAACTATATAATCTGCATATCGCGGTTTCTTCTTGAAAGGATTGGATGGAAATAATGCCATTCTGGCCCCAAAGATTCCACAAGAGGATTAGTAAGAAAACCCGATAAAGCCCCGTCACAACTTATTATATTTTTTTAATATTACTTGTTTTTATATTAGATGTACATCCAAATTGCATTTATGAAATATAAGTTGGATTAGAGAATAATATAGGCTTTTATAAGACAATAAAATGAAAAATAGCAATATTACACTAAAGAATAAATAGCAACAAATAAAATATTTCTTCTGTTAAAAATTTACGTTTTATAAATACAGTCAGAATTTTTAGGAATCGACTTACTTATAGACAGAAAGAGAGTAATACTTAATATTATACAAAATATAAATTTTTTACTACAGAAGTATATTGAAATTTATAAAAAAATCAATTTACTTGGAAGACTTTGTTTATAAAATTGTTCATGTATGGATGAGATTTTGGTACATTACTAAGCTATAAATTTCACGCATAAAATGAGAAATGTTTCTAAGTTTAGTAGGAAATAGCATTAGGAACTGAAATAGATGCAACTCAGGAATAAACCTTGATTTCGAAAAAGTAATATAAAAAAGAATTTTAAAATCAATTCCTACTTCGTTAGAAAAACTTACTGGCGCCATCTGTTGTAGCTAGTTGTATTAATGACAGAAATAACGCAGTCAAGTGTCATCCACTACAAGTTTAAAAAAATGTATTTGATCTTCAGTGGATGAATAAAAAGTATTTTATTATGGATTGAAAATTTGAACAAGATATATATATATATTTATATATATATATATATATATAGAGAGAGTCACATAAGATTAAATAATTTATTATAAAGTAAAAGATATTAGCTGTTTCACATAGTTTTATTAAAATGGTTTTAAACACAAATCTTCACTAATAATAATAATAAAATTTATTTCCTTGATTAAAGTTGGCAATCATAATCTCTACCGTAAATTAAAATTAGGCTTAGAGCAAAAGAGGTTTCAATAAAGGATAAATTTTCTTGGAGGGGAGAAAGGAAATTCAAGACACATAAGTATATAAGTCAAGGAACCAACCAAAGTACTCTTTTCAAAAAGTTTATAACCACTCAATTTCCCACGGGAACAGAACTCTCTTTTTTAGAGCTGTTAACCGGTTCCGTGGAATAACTGTTATCGCCTCAACAATGAAAGGACCAACAGGCGCCAAATTACTAGACAACCTTTATTTTAAATTCAAAAATAATTAATTCACGAGAATATCTCACATTTAAAACTTAAATCAAAAACAGTAAGATGTAAAAAAATAAAATTCTACCTTCAAAACAAAAAATATAAAAACAAAAACTTGACACATAAATATTTTAATATGTTAGTAATACACGTCAAGCAGCTTTCTCAAACCACAATAAATCAAACTAACACTTCTAGAAATGTTCATTAATTAATAAATTAATTAACCAAACAAAAATAATAATCACTAATATACCAATTTAAATAGTACTTTTCTTATGGAATATGGAGGTAGCGCGTTAGCGTAGTGGGGAGTGCTCCCTAACCTGTTTACTGCCACGGACCCGGTCCTCATTTTACAATTTTACGGTGGCCTGCTGTGAGGTTTTGATTTAATAATTTTATATAATTTAACTCTATTTAAATATGCCTTCATATTCCACACAGTTACATCAAAAAATTAATATAAAGTGATTTAGCATAAAGTATGCTGTCGTTGTTACTGATGTCACTTATCTGACGTTGTCAGATCGAGGCCCACGAAATTAATCACGGCAGACGGGTAGATGTACACCTGTCGTCAGCCGTAGCTTTGAGCTCCATACAGGTGACATTACACAATTTGACTCGGTTCCTCCCCAATTTTGAGGTTGAACACCCTGGAGCTGGTCAGGGGCCTCTCACCTTTCCTCCCCTTCCACCGACCTCATGTGAGAAGACTTACGGCTCGACTGTTATTTAGAGTACGCCCCTATCGCGAAGGCACTATACATTTACGAGCATCCATGCCTTCTCCGGATTCGAACCCAGGCCCTACGTCACAGAAGTCAGCGTCACTAACCACTGTACCAGATGGCAGCACATATCTGAGAGATATACATCACAGTAAATAAAATGGAAATAATTTAATGTTCCTAGTGTGGCTCGGAACTATTTCATCCACGGACCGATATCAGTCCGTAGCCTGGGGGTTGGGGATCACTGGCAAAATGGTCATGCTCACGAGCTAGTGTCCGATGTACTTTTGAGTTCAAACCCTAGTGCCACTGAAGATCCACTGTGTACAGGACTGATGCTCGATAAATCTGGCGTGGCTCAAAATTCGAGGTTTGTCGCCAATAGCCCTTGTGTTGCTTTATAAACACTCATTCCATTTCAGAATATGATCACAAAAGTTAAATATTCGTGAGGATAGTGGTGATATATTTAAAGTTGAGATCAATAATTCCTGAAACTTTCTAACAAACAACACTACATCTGAAAATATTCTTACTATTCTTTTTAACATGCTTTTACAAGCTTCACTTGTAAGTAACAAAATCTTTGAACTCGAATTTTACCCACTTTAAAAAGTCAGATTAATTCGAAATTTTACACACTTGTGAAGGACCGATGACAATGCAATAATTTCATTATCTTGCTCCATTGTCCTGATCAGTATCATCAGGAATAACAATTGTCAGATTTGGTGACTAATTCATTAGACCTTTTTCAAATTTGTTGACTAATTCCAGATACCATTTCCAGATTTGGTGACTAATAGATTAAGTTACAACCCTAAGAGGGAGAAAATGTGGTTCAGCAATTTCTTACCATAATATAAACAGTTGTCTAGTTTTTCTGAACTTGGAAATTAAAAAAAAGACTCGTGCATGTGAAAAAAATAATTTATGTTCTAACTTCTAAAATCAGACATTTAGTCTGCTTTTCTAAATTCTCTTGTCGGATCTGTCGAATGAAGCTTCATTCATTGCTTCATTTTACCAAAACAGCTGAGAATTGATTCAGAGGTCATCGGATTAATGTAAGTTTTTTTAGAGAATATTGAGCTCTTTTTATATACTGAAAAATATCATTAATTTTACACCCTCTTTCTCATGAGATATTTCAAACATAGCTCTTTAAGATTTCCTTCAGTTGGCTGATCCTACATTTTGCAAACCAAGCCGTCTCAACGCACTGATAGGATGCCAATGGGTATTTCAGATTCTAAAAAATGGCGCATTTAAGATTAATTCATCAATGAATAAATGATAGTTAAAAAAAACTAAAAATGCATGTTTTACTGTAGATAGAACTAAAAAATGAAAGAGATAAATTATAGTTTGAAAAAACTAAAAAACACGCTTTTAGGGGGAATCGAACTAAAAAGTAAAAAAAAAATTCTTAATATAAGAATAAAATGATTAACGAGAAAATGAACGCCATTGTGGTAAGAACGTGGAGTGTTTTGTACTACATTTTCACACTAACTCAGCATTTCGGAATAGAACTAGTAAGAAATTATAACAAAATTTATATAGAATACCCCACGCTTTTACCACAATGACATTCATTTTCTCGTTAATAATTTTCTTGTATTAAGAATTTTTTTTTTTTTTATTTTTTTTTTGATTTAACCAAAAAAGGGTTTTTTTTTTTTTTTTTTTTTTTTAATTATAATTTATTTGAAGCAAACTCGATACATTGAAGTTTGTTTTTACCGCCTGCGTAAATTTAAGTCATGTTTATTACAGGATTGTTTCTTTTTTAATTATTATTTATTCATAAGATTTGTGATTTGTTACAAATGCGACCGAATTGTCCTCTTAATTTTCCATGATACAAAAAGCCGGATTTATTGCGACCAAAAAGAGAAAAGAAAGCATTATTCTGTAATATGTGTGACAAGGATGCCTTTCCATGTGAAACATCTGACACATTCTGTTGCTTTCTGGATAGATTTCAAGTTAGGATCTTGGCTGCTGTCCTAACTATTATATGCAGTTTTTAAGAGGGCGAATATATATATTCGCTCAATGGAGATGAAAATTATTTTTATAAATTGCTCTGAATTATCATACTTGAAACAATTTTAGCCAGTTCTTTTTAACATTGTATAAATAGTTATCTTTTTAATGCAACATAACAGGATAAAAAAAAGTTACGAAACTTTTTTTTTCTTATTTAAAATGAAAAAAAAACAATGTGTTTTCGCTAACATATTAATCACAAATTATAGTGAAAATCATTTATC